TCCATGCCATTCGAATAATCAATTTTTTCAACTTTGAATTTCAAGAGCATTCAAAGACTATTTGAAGTAAAATGCAAAATTTCAGAACTTAAGTAAAAAAGCATTGAAAAAACGCTTGAAAAAAGAAACAGAAAGTTCTATATTTATCAGCAATACTTTTCTTAATTTGACCGAAGTATATTTTGCTTATTCTGCTAAACTAGTGAAAACTAAGTCCGCTTTAATTTAAGGCTATAATTAATGTTTGTAACAGTAAACCGTGAATTCACTCCTACAATTAACGAATACAAGTCGAGATTAGCATATGGTGAACTTCTCGTAAGTAATTCCCAAATCAGCACGCCAAAACTCCATACATCTATCTGAAAGAAGGATGATTAATCAACGCAACCACTTAATCAGTGACCAAACAAAATTTATTTCAACAACAAAAAAATTTAAAAACTTCAGTGCAGCGTTAGTAAGCTTCCCACTTTTCGTGAACCATGATTTTTCGTTATCATCTCAGGTGCCATGTATAGGCAGGTGCCAACGAAAGACATTGAGCTATTTTCCGATCTTTCCCAAGTACGCGACAAACCCAAGTCACATATTTTTATATTGCCTTTACTCTCGCGAAGAATGCTAAAAAATCAGAAATGTAAATGCAGGCTCAAATTTGGCACTAACTGTGTAAGCTTACTTTGATGGCTTCAAGTCACGATGAATAAACTTTTTCGAATGGAGGTACTTCATTCCTTCTGCAATCTGTTGCAACCATTTGAAAATTTCCCACTTTCCAATTCTTTCTTCACTATGTATGACCGTCTTTAGTGATCCTTGCTCACAATATTCCATTAAAAGATAGCGATAATCTTCGTTAATCCCTCTGCAATTTTTTTTTCAAATTTAAAGTGCTATAAAAGTGAAGTGCCTGTCTGTAATTGAACAAAAAGGTAGACTCAAAAATAATGATAAGCAGTAAAATTCTGTATAGACTACAGCAACAAAACAAGAAAAAGTACTGCGCGTTACTCACAAATAATGGACCAAATTTGGATGGTTTAGACAAAGCAGTTTTTTGACCATTTCCATGTCCGGTTTTTTAGTACTTTTACTGCGATTTAGTACTTTTACTGCAATCTTTCTTCCTTCGTACTCGCCCAGATACACCTTCCCCTCTGATCCACTACCAATTACTTCATCAGTCCTTGTAAACGATTTATCAGAAATTCCTAAAAAATTCGTTTTTAGTAGCAAACTGTTAGCATTTAAACTAACAAAACTAGCAAGTCATCAAGACCAATAAAAAGAAATGCAGAATATTTTCAGAATATGAACAAAAATGCAGTAAGGTCAATGCTATCTTTGTGGTTCATAAGAAATAATTTTTTTTTAAAGCCGCCTGTGCAATTGCTGTAAGCTTTCCTGGTGTTTGGTAGGAAAAAGCAGTTAAAATTTCTCTTATCAAATGCCATGCAAGAGATTATGCTAGAATTGCTCATTTTAATGTTGATTTTCGTGAGCTCTTTTTCGGTTCGCAAAACTTTCTAAAATTGCCGTACGATTATCAAAGAATTTCTAACAATTTCACATATAGTTTTACTTA